CAACCATTAACCCCACACTGCCAAGTCCACCCTTAAACCATGTCCCCACATGCCACATCTATCTGTCTTAAGTACCTCCAGAGGTGGTGACTCCTGAACTTCCCTGGGAATTGTTCCAATGCTTGACAACCCTTTCAGCGAAGAATTTTTTCCTAATATCCAATCTAAACCTCCTCTGGCACAACTTGAGGTGATTTCTACTCATCTTATTGCTTGTTACTTGGGAGAAGACACCAATCCCCACCTCACTGCAACCTTCTTTCAGGTAATTGTAGAGAGTGATAAAAGGCTCCTCTGAGCCTCCTTTTCTGCAGGCTAAACGAGCCCATCTGTCTCAGTTTGCTATATACCAGGGTGCCAGTTGCATTGGGCTGTGCTGTGCTCACCTCAAGCAGGGTCATCTGCTCAGCCCCATTGGGCAAACATGTAACATCTCTATGGGGACAGCTGAGTGTGAAGACAAAACTGCTGCAGAGCACTGAGGTCGTCAGAGATGATCAAGCCTTCTGCTTCTGCCAGAGCACCAAGCAGGGAAAGAAACACTGGGGGTTTTTTTGTGTAAATTAAAAATATTTGGTGTGAAAGCTGCCAAGCTGTAGCAAATGTGCAGCCTTGCTCTGCTTTGTATAAGGTCACTTTTAAGAGTTGAGCTCACTCCAGAATTGGGAAGGACAAGGACTGACATCTCTGTTTCTGCTGAGTCCACAGGCTTCTCCCCCACAGAAAAGTTCAGAGGATGGAGAAAGTGCATATGAGCCTCCTGGTCTGTGAAGGCAGCTCATCACACCCCTCAGGGCTGAGAAGGTGGCAAGGTGGAATTTCTAGTCCAGCCAACAGAGTTGGAACATTTGCTGCACCTCAGGTCCAACTCCAGTCTTGCCAAGGCAGTGGATTCAATGAGCTATGTGCCCAGGACTTCACTACAAGTTCAACCTAAAAAGAATTGTGTTTGTGTTGCAAGAAGACAAATTAAATGCATTTTAGGAGCCCTGGCTTATACTCTCTGTCTGTAAATCCTTTTTATTATTATTAATATGAAATTGTTGCTATCTAGATGACAACTGAGCATAATTTAATTTAACAGCAAGGCTATCTGGTAAAAATAATTAATTTTCTCTGGAAAATGATGGGCTGAGCTGGAGGGAGGCATCTTTCACAGACTGTGAAATATGACTTTAATGTCAGAGTCAGATAGTCAATTCCAGTTCTGGGTACACACAACCCAGTGTGTTGTGTCAAGAAGACAGATAATGAATGTCCCAGTTGCTGTGAAATATTATCACAGATCATTTATTTAGTTTGAAATAACAAGTTTTAAATTGTCTGTTATGTTCATTACTAAGTGTCCTGGTTTTGGCTGTGATAGAAGTAGTTTTCTTCCTAGTAGCTGGTACAGAGCTGTGGTTTGGATTCAGTTTGAGAAAAATGCTGATAACACACTGGTGTTCTAGTTATTGTTAAGCAGTGCTCACTCTAAGTCAAGAACTTTTCAGTTTCTCATTCTCTGCCAAGAGGACGTGCACTAGAAGCTGGGAGGGAGTGTGGCCAGGACAGGGCACTTGAACTAGCCAAAAGGATATTTCATGCTTTAGAACGTCATGCTCAGTATATATACTGGGTGGAGTTGTCTGTGAGGGGCTGGTTGTAATTTGGGGACAGGTTGGGCATTGGTCAGTGGGTATTGTGCATCACTTTCTTTCTTGGATTTTATTTTTCTCTCTCTTTTTGTTGTCTCTCTTTCCATTACAGTTATTATTATCATAATGTTATTATTATGTTTTGTTTCAATTATTAAACTGTTCTTATGGCAATCCATGGGTTTTACCTTCTTTCTGATTGTTACCCCTAATCCCACTGATGGGAGGTATGTGTATGTTAGAAAGCGGCTGTGTGGTACTTAGTTGCCAACTGTGGTTAAACCATGACAATGAGAAAAATGTCTTATGTTTTATTCTACTGAGTGTTAATCAACTTTCCCAATTAATTAGTCATTGAATTATTTAAGATGCAAAGGCAGTTAAAACAGTATTACAAGATATCTAAACTATTTTTATCAGAGGCCTCTGTTGTGCTTGGTATTGTATAAACAAACAGAGGAGATTAATTTTACTTGCCTTTAGAAATCTGAATTGCAGAATTGGTTATCTTCATCTCCCCTTATGCTGAAACACCCCCACAGATGTTTGTTGTGATGTATTTCTCAGATCTATTTTAGATTCTGAATTTGGATGAGATTAATTGTATCGCAAAAGTACCAATTTAGTAGATGACCTAAAAGTAGCTGTCTACTTCCTGCAAGGTGAATCCCCATTCTCACAAATGGGGAACAGAAGTGCAGAGGGACTGAAGGTGGGATTCATCTGACCGTAAAAACAGGCTTTTGCAGTACTAACTGCAAATGTTCAAGTTTGGTATGTGGACTTTTCATAGTCAATTGTGAGAAAACTCTTCTGGGGCACAGTTCATCTTTCCTGTACCAGACATCCAAAATAGGCACTCCTATTTAGTAGTTGTATGATGTCTTCCCTTCGATTGACTCTTAAAGTATCCAGTCTCACAAGGTTCAGATGCAGATAACTTCACATGGTATTAGAAGTCAGGTGAGATGAATTCCCCCTGCTCCATGTCATGGGGAAGGTTTGTTTTGGTGTCTGAGAATGAATCCAGTTTTCAGCAAACCTAAACAGTGATCCTCTTCCTTGAAGACCTCTTGCTTTAGTACAAATACTCCTTCTGAGGCAGAGCCTGACACTGGGGTCCCTGAAAGTTTCCATCAAGCTATAAAGGGCAATACATTACAATTGATGTGGGATCACTAATCTCTCCTCTGAATGGTCACATAAAACATTGCCTGGTTGTGGTGTTCATTAGGAGCAGAGTAGAGCCCTGGGCCTCCAGTAGTTGTCCAGCTGTCCAGTGGCAGAGGCTTCCAGAGGGAGGGAAGGCGAGCTGCTTCTTTTCTGTATCTTGGTCTCATACATGTAGTTTGATTGTCTTTCCTCATCCATCAGTACCACATGATGCCAAACTTCTTTCAAGACCTCGCAGGCAGAAATGTAAAACTGTGTATAACTGAAGATGTTTTTGAAAGGTGACATGATTCAAATATCCTCAGAGTTATGTATCCAGAGCCAAGATGTTTCTAGGACAATCAAGAGACACTTGGAAGGATGATTAATATACTTCGCACCACTTGATCAGAGAGTAAAGAAGCAGTAGATGTCATCTTACATGCCAATTATTCCACTAGAAAATATGGACATGGTGGCAGAAACAAACCATCAAAAAAATAATTTAAAAGTCTCACACTTTTGGTTTGGCACGTTGCATTTTTCATGACTACACCATTCATACCTGATCAGTCAAGGCCTCTTTTTTTTAATGCTACTTCAGTGACACATAACTTCTCTAAAGATGGAGAAACTAAATCAAGGTCAAAGCCACCATTTTCCACTGTGGACCAATGGCAGTAAGGGAGAAGACTGGAGATAGCCTGATTTTCAGGTCTCTTTTAATCACTATATCATGCTTCCTTCTCAGCTAATCCAAAAATTTCACCAAACCACACTGCTCTATTTTTTTCAACATAAATTTTAAGCTCAGTTCATTCTGTCCAAGAATACAGGTTGCATAGTCAGATATTTGTGCAGGAATGTACATCTGTATGTTTATATTGGGGAACAATTATTACTCTCTTCTAGTCTGCTCTGTTGTTCTCTGCTGAGCAGAGAAAACTAGGAACAATTAATTTCATGTCTCTTCCGTAAGCCAAAGAAGCACTCTCAATCTTTACTTTCAAGAAGCAATTAACTTCAGGTTTATTAGTCAAGTTGTGCTATGAAGTTTCAATCTTTCATTGTACACTGTGAATTTTAATTACAATTTATTAAAATAATTTAATTGACTTCAGTCAATGGGCGTGAATGAGGGCAGAATTTCCCTGAGAAAGCTGTAGACAGAAGAAAGGGCCACCCATCCTAAATGCCTTCTGCCTGCCCTTTTTTGGGTTGCATCAGACTGCCTGAAAGAGGGCTGTATTTATCATCTTTGATGCCTCCAGCTCAATGGTCAATTCATATTAGATTCCACAAAAGGCAGTGAACCAAATTCATCTCTGATACAATTCCATTGACTTCAGTGGTTTTACCACAGGGATTAATCTGGCCTAATATTATAGTGTAAGAATGCATGTGTGTGTACTATTAGCCCAGACTCTTTGCTGGAGATCATGCCATGTAAAAGCTGATAGCTGTTGCAGTTGCAATTTGCTCAAGAAATCCAATTCCTTTTGTTGACCCACTGAAGTTGACATTCCCCCCCCCAAAAAAAAAAAAGGGAGACCAAAAACCCCTCCAAATGCCTAATCAATTTGCAACTGCAGCTGAATTTAGATATATATTTGCTAATTTGGTGTATTATGCATGCAAATATTGGTATAAAAGGTGTTTCAATTATTTTCTAAGGCAGGGACCTATGCATTCTCCGCAGTCACAAAGAGTTTAAATGGAGTTATTTTTCCCTGCCTATAATCGTTCTCCCTTTTAAGTACCCAGGCAGAAAAAGTAAGTTTACTGCTTCTAGCACAATGGCTCTCTTCACTTTTAGGTTTGGGAGACCTGGGTGACCTACGAAAGTTAATTAGAAGGTTAACAAAGACTAAGGCAGAGTAGAATACAGCGCCTCTCCTCCAGCCAAAGATGTCATCCATTAATTAGGGAAATCGTTAAGGTGGTCTTTATTGAATCCATAGAAAATCGGCAGTTTGCAGTCGACAGTTTTGATCAGATTTTCCTCTCCCCAGTAATACTACCCTTAATCGTAGGAGCCACGGAGGGTTCAGGATGGGCTGGGAGGAGTGAGGGGGAAAGTGTATGTGCACATAGGGGGAGTATGTGTTTCAGCGACATTACAGTTAAACAGCCGCCAATTGTGACGGCTTTGATTCTCAGGCTTACATGGCATACTTATTCCATGATGTAATCTTTATTGAACCTGGAAGCTTGGGGGTGGGGGGCAGGGGGCAAGTGAAACTCACTGCTGCTGCCGCTGCTGCCTCTCAGCCGCAGGAAGCCCTGGGAGTTAATATTGCAGTCATCATAGGCAGAGCTTGCTGCTTTTGCATGGTAATACGCTATCTGACTCCCCTTTCCTCCTCACTGAAGAGTGTCTGCTTCGAGCATTGAGAGCAAACAGCCATCTGCACAACAGACCCTTCACTTCTCCAAGAATACATTCACTTTAAAGTTGAAGGGCCTTTTTGTAGATCTTAGATTTTTTTATACTCTTTTTTTCTCACTACAGTACCAAAGTGGTGTTGCTATTGAGGATTTCAAGTGAAATGTTAGACAGTCCTGGCATTTTAACATGTATATTTTTTAACCTACTGGGAGAACTGGCTGGCTGGAGGTCTTTGCTGATTTAGTTTTGACATTTTTCCCTATACATTGAAAAAGCTGTGTCAAAGATAGTCCAGCCTGCTCCGTGTTGTTACCAAGAAAGTGACCTAGCATTGCAGAAGTGTTTTGTTTGAACATGGGAAGCCATCACCTTCCAGGGGAGGAAGGCAAAGACAAGGGCTACTGCAATCTAGGATGTTTACATTTAAACAATGTCCTAGCTCTAATGTCCTGGAACTTGGAGCCATTGGTTTGAGTGTTTTAAAAATGTGCAATCAAGAGGTGTTTGGATGTCTAGAGGACTATATCCTATGCAGCATGTGGCAGAAAATGTCTTAGAAAGATTTTAAAAATAAAACTATTGGATGAGTAATATTTTAATTGACTGGTGTTGCACTATTCCAGGCCATTAAAATCAATGATCTACTAAAAAAATCTTGTACTTATTCTTGCATCTCAAATTCTGGTGAAAAGCTTCTTCATGTTAGCATGAATTTCTCTGTCAGACAGAATTTGAGTGTGAAATGCCAAGAAAAAGCAAGTCTTAATATACAGAGGGCACACATACGCTTTATTGCCTTTATCTTTCTGTTCAATGCATAGATAGTACTTTATATATAGCCTATCATTCAACCTCTCTTATAAAATAATTAAAGTTTACTTAGTATTTTAGTATGCAAAATTGCAAGCATTGAAAGCAAGTATCAGCACAGAAAGAGTAGCAAAAAAATGCCAAGCTGCTTCTGATACGCTCCATGCAACTCTCAGTTTTTCTATATCCTTGTGGTGCCAAAAGAAAGTGCCCAGGTTTCGGCTGGGATAGAGTTAGTTTTATTTCTGGTAGCTGGTACAGTGCTGTGGTTTGGATTCAGTATGAGAGCAATGTTGATATCACGCTGATGTTTTAGTTGTTGCTAAGTAGTGCTTACCCGAAGTCAAGGACTTTTCAGTTTCTCATGCTCTGTCAATGAGAAGGCACACAAGAAGCCAGGAGGGAGTGTAGCCAGGAGAGCTGTAAGCTAGCCAAACTAGCCAAAAGAATATTCCATACCATAGACCATCATGCTCAGTATACAAATTGGAGGGAGTTGTCTGGGTCTGATCATGGTTTGGGGACAGGCTGGGCATTGGTCAGTGAGCGGAGGGCAATTGTGTAGAGAATAATGTGCCTCTCTTGGGGTTTATATCTCTCTTTTTTGTTGTCTCTCTTTTCATTACTATTATTGTTATAATTATTACTATTAGTATTATTATTTTATATCCATTAATAAATTGTTCTCATCTCAACCCATAGGTTTTGCCTTTTTTTCCTACTCTCCTCCACATCCACAGCAGGGTGTGTGAGTGAGTGGCTACATGGTACTAGTTGCCAGCAGGAGTTAAACCATGAACAAGGTATACTCCATGAGTAAGGCTTTCTCCATGATTTGAAGAGCTCCCAGAGACTTGTGATTTGAACTGGAGAGGTACTGTGTTCCCACAGCTCTGTTTTGGACATTTTTCTCTTTTAGGCTAAGAGACAAACTAACTCATCCATTGTGTAGTCTCTGAGATCCCCAGATAGAGTACTATAAGAGGGCCACACTCTATTATTCTCTTATTATAGAGCAGCAGAGGTTGTTCAGGAGTTACGTTGGATTTTTATATGTTTTCCTACTGCCTTTTGTCTTCTAGTAGCAGTCCTGTGGCTTTGAGAGCTTTGGACTCCCAACTAGAGGCAGGTTCCTAAATTTAAGGTGGCTTCTCTGTGAGGCTTTAGAAATCATTGTGGATAGGGCGATTATGTTGCTTAGACATATTTTTGTATCACTGTACCCTCCATATTAAAAATGCCTTTAAGGTAAGAGAGCTGGTGTTAGTGTTAACTTCAGCACTCCTCCAACGAGTTTTCTGGCAATATTGAACAACATTTGTACAAAGCCCCTGGTAGTCAGTGTATTACTAATGGAGGTGTTGCTGGGAGTATGGGCAGGATCAGATCTCAAGTGTGGGAAAAAATTCTTGTAGCCATAGCTGTAATGCTACCAAGCGTATCGAGCATGAGAAGCATACCAAGCACGAAAAATGATGACTTACAGATGTTTTTTTCTCACCTGATGCTTCTAGAGTTGCAGTCCAAATTTGTATCCTTGGTATGGAACTTTACTGGATTTTTCATGTGATTTCTTTTTCCCTTCGGCAGCTGAGGCTGGGAGAAAAGCAAACACAAATAACTGCAAACACAATTTTACAGTAATTTCACAGTTAATACAGCTTTGAGAAGGCTGGTAAAAGGTGCGCACTAGTATTACTTTTTAACTATATTCAATATAGCAGCACTTCTAAGTGACTGAGAAAGGAAAAAGTGACTGAGTTTTTTTAATTCACTCAAATTTCTTAAAATGGCACAGGGAGGAATCAGTACAGGAGATACATCAAAAAAAGTACAAAATAAGTCAAAAGTGTAGAAAGTTCTCTGGATGTCCGGGAGGCTGGTTTTAGCTGCTTGTGCAGTTTCTCCCCTGCCATCTTCTCTAAAAACATCATGGAAGGTATTTCAGGGGAAGTACGAGTTTCTAGAAGGTACACAGTTCCACTTAGCTTTAGTCACCTGCTCCTGTTTTAGTGTTCTGAGTGTCTTTTTCTATTCAAGAGAGGCAGAGGAACACTTGCAGATCTTACTCTTTTGACCTGTTTCAGACTTCCATGTCAAGACAAGACGAACTGCGCCCTGAACATGCCTACTCCTTGAATTATAAAGCAGATCTGGAAAACAGCTTCATTTGAGTCAGGCTCGAACTTGAAATTGAGTGCTGTAGCTTAACCAGAAGCAGATGCAGATGAAGGGACTCCAGCACATAGCATCTTGTGGGAGACTGAAGGGTCACTGGAGAGCTATGAGGTGGAAAAGGAGCTGTCTAGAGAAGAGGAGAGAGTTGGCTATGCTGAAATGGAATTTCAGTCCCAGAATTTCTCAAGAAGTTTTATATTTTTAATAAATAACTGAGTGCTAAACATGGCAACATCAGCTATAAAGAGAAGGATGAGAATATTCAGCAGGAAGAGATGTTGGCCTTTACAAAGAGAATGAAGATAGTTTGTAATCATGCAAAATGTCCTTAAAGATGAATTGGAAGGATTCCTGCTTGAAGCCAGAAGTTCATCACATAGAAATGCAAAAGGGAGAAAAAAAGTACCTCCTTCTGTTACTTACCGCACTCTGACCATGAGATGTTATGTTACAGGGTTGCCAAGTGGGCAAATGCAATTCTAAGTTATATCAAATGAGCTGTTTCCAGTAGAGAAAGGAAAACAGGAATGCTGTGCTCTGCCATGCACTGAGACTTCCTGTGGAATTCTGTGAACAAAACCTGCAGAAATGGAGGCTATCACAAGTGACTAAAATGAGGTCTAAAGACCCAAGAAAAGAGCATGAGACCTTGCAGAAGGGATTAAAGCAACATCTGAAGGCTTTGCTGAAAGGCTTGGGAGATGGCCTGAGACTGGAGGTAAAATTTTTTAGGGGCAGCAGGAGCTGGAACAAGTTCAAAATAAATGAATAAGGAACCAGTAACCAGATGGCTGAGAACCAGCAGCTTTTCCGGGGACAGGGAAGGCCAAAGAATCTTTGGCAAGCTTGGAGGTTACTAACTGAGCAGGACAGCAGTGAGGATTAAAAAAGCTAAAAATACCAACAGCACAAGGAAATCAGAAAGTTGCAAAAGTCAGAAACCTGATGTGTAATTAAGGCTGCTGGAGGACTTCTGCTGCCCAGCCTTATAACACTGTTACAACTGCAGAAACTGGAAGAGACATTGAACAAGCTGTACAAATACACAAGAAACTGGCTAAAAAGTTGCAGTGAATGATCTGCGAAGGCATGACCAGAACCTTTATGCCAGAGAAGATGGACAGGAACAGTGTTTGTTTCCCAGGAACGAAACAGGTCTGAAAACATTACCTGCAAAAAAAACCCAACAAAAAAACAACCATAAACCATCCACGTAGACTGGGGCTCAGTGGGGGTCTTGGAAAAGAGAAGGGGAGAATCTACCTAAGCTGAGGAGAACCTGAGGAGCCTTCTCTCCTGGCACACCTCCAGCAAAGACTGCCAAGATGCTTTGGCAATGGACCAGCTTAGAGGGACTCAGCTGGACTTGGCGTGGCCTGCAAAGACCAGTGAAAGGAGGCCAGAGCAGTTCTGAGAGGTGCTGGAATTTGTCACGGGGCTCAGCTGCAGCTGTACACTGAAAGGGGACATTGCTGTGGGAGAGAGAGAGATGCTCAGTGCTGCAGACACGGTGAGTATGGGCAGGAGTCGGACACACGGGATAGGAATCCTCCTGATGGCACTTCTGATTGATTAGAAGGAATGGTACAGTTGGTTTGTGTGACTGGGAAAATGGTTACTAAGCCCTGTTAACTGTTCACTTAAGGGGAGGCAGGTAGAGAAATACCACAATAACCATAGCCTGGCATGTGGCCAAAATGGAGTAACTGGTGGCACTCAGTGAAAGCCCTCGCCCACCTTTGAAGAGGAAAAGGTGCAATTTATGGACTGAAAGTACGAAGAAGTACAAGGGTCAGAGCTGTTGACCTAGCCATCTCAGGCAGGTGTGTTGGCTGTGGCCAAATGTGTGAGGGCTCATCAGTTCTGAGGACAGTGGGTACCAGCTGAGCATACAGGTCATTGGGTGGGTATGGGCTGAAGTGAGGAGAGACCACAGTTGGCACCATGCAGCCCACTCCACAGCTTGTTGTGAGAGGCCAGTGTCTCAACAGTGGGGTCTAGACTGCGTGGATGAAGTAGATGAGCTAAAAGATCAGATCTGTAGGCCATGAATGACCTTGCTTAATAGGAGAAGAAGGTGTCACAACACAGTCTGCACTCTGCTAGTAAAAGAAAGCTGAGGAGGATCCAAGATGTGCCTTGAGATCTGGGAAATCTTGGCAGTGAATGCTGCTGTGCATCAGGGGTGGCACCTGCATAAGCAGGTTGCTTTGGGGCAGCAGTGCAGGTTCAAAGCTAATCCCATGATGACCCTCGTTTGCTGCAGGCTGGCTCAGTGACAGAGCTGCCCTAGTGTGTACGAGCTTGTCTCCTGTCAGAGAACACTACTTGGGCAGTACCACTTGTGTGGTGGGGTGTTTGGTCCAGAGAAGCTGATTAAATGTTATACTAAAACCCCACCACCACCCTCCCCAAGTTGCAGGCAGTGTAGATTTGGAAGCCAATAATTGTTTCAGTTCTCTGTTGAGCCAAATTCTTGCTGACACCAACGTAGCTAGAACATATGGTAACTGTGCATTTGTGAATTATGGGCAGCAAACAGAGAGAGGGTCAGTGCTGGGTCAGGATGTCTTTTAATGACTCTAGTTAGTGAAAAAGACTATGAAACTGTGCCTCTGGTAAGGGATCAAGGATAGTTCCTGAGTCCTGAAGTCACTTGTTCTACTTCATAATGAAGACTCAAGGCTCATCTTTAGAGTCATTGACCCATTAAACTGCCCCACACTGTCTGGGGAGAAGGCATTGTACAGACCACTGAAGACCTAAAGGTGCCTTCAGCAGTAGCTTGGATGTCGTCCACAGGTCTGGTGAAGGGAGGCAATAGTGCAATGCCGCAGTACAAAGTAGAACATACTGAAGAAATAACACCGTTGCAGGTGCAGCCACTGTCATGAGAGGATAACACCTTGGATATTGCGGTCTGGTTTCCATACTCAGTTTTAAGAAGAATTGGCAAGTGGCAGTGGAAGCAAAGAGCAGGGGTGAAGGGCAGGAGACAGCATTTCTACTGCGTCAGTAAGCAGTACTTGAAAGTGCCGGCTTCTGGCTGACACTGAGTGATCTTGGAAATGGTCACTGCAAAATAGGTCCCTCTCAGCCTGTCTGCTCTGCTGAGATGGCTCAGGGCACACTCAGAGACTGCTGGTAAGAAAGACTGCATTTACAACTAGCCTGGGATTAGATCAAGGCTACCACTGAACTTGAGCTTCCTGAAATGAGAGTTGCTCTGAAAAGGGACTACTTCTCATGGACACACAACTCAGCAAGAGAGAGTTTCTCTAACAAAAAGAAAAATATGGCTGTGCACAGGACTGGGCAATTTCCCAGGCAGTCACAGATGCACAGAGTTTTGTGGGGCTCTGCATTTACTATGAAGGCCTTGTTTGTGGATTTGCCAAAATTGCAGACTTACTACCTAAACTGGGTAAGAAAGAAACACCAACTGCAGTGCCATGTGAGATTTAACCACTTCAGAATTAGGGTTTTTCTTATGTCTTGGCAGATCCAATTTGAAAACCCCTTATGGAGTTTGTAGCCCCTGTGGGCTCAGATGCAGGTCCCTGCAAATGTGAGGCTGCTCTGAAACAAGAATACATAAGCTATGTAAATGTGAAGATTTAATATTTAATTTATAAAGTTGAAGATGTGATATCGACAATGATCTAAGTAATCCAGAGGAGTTCAGAGAGGCAGGTTGCCTACAAATGGGAGAAGTAGTGGAATATATAGTCACACTCATGCCCTGGAATAAGAAAAATGCTACAGACCACTTGTCCCAGCTGCCTAGTGGAAATCACTTTCAAATGTTGCCCTGAGGAAGATTGCTCAAGAGAAGCGCTCTAGAAAAAAAGATAGTCCCTCCACTTCCATAACACACTCAGGTTCAAAATTTTCTGATGCGTGTCCTGAAAACTACTACAGGATCAGATATGCTGGAGAAATGTAGATACTTCCCCAAGTCTCTGCCTCGGATGTAACACCTTGAGTAACTAGAAAATCTATTGGCAAATGTTCTCATCCCTGAGTACCGAAGAACTGTCATTGTGGGAGATATTAAAGGGAAAATTATGTAAAAGGTGGGAAAACTTATTTAGAAATGGTTCTGGTACAAACTGATGATCCTAAATACCTCATAACTCAGTCCTGAGTCATACATGAGTTTTGAAACTGCCAGATATTTGGACAATGCAAAAAATCTTAGACAAACTGCTGGAGGATTTGCCCTGAGTAAAATGCCAGTAAAAAACATAAGAAATTTGGCAGTAAATGAGCTCTTTGCAATAATTAGGCTGTTGGAATAGAATAGACATATGGAGTAAGGAAGAAGCTGGCTAAGAGTTTATTAGAGAAGGGATTTAGAAAGGGAGTTCAAGAATTTCTTTCAGTCTACTGGACTCCCCCTGCGAACAGGAACATCTCCGATGAGCGAGAGAGTCTGTCACATGGCTGTACATGGCATGTATTATACAGCTAAGGTCACATCATCAGCTGGGAGAGAGCAGCACAGCTTCATTTTCTTTAGTGAAACAGCACCCGCTCCCGTCAGCTGCAGATTTGATACTTCTGTGCTCTTCTGCTCCAATAAGTGAGCAGGTTTTTTGGGTATTGCTTTTTGCTGTGGGCATTGGGAGGAGAGCAAGATGCATCCTACAAGAGCAGACTTTGAAAATAGGAAGATAACTCCTTACACAGTCACCCTTTGCCACCTTCTCCTGCACCTGAGGTCAACACAGCATGCTTGGTTGGGGTAGTTCTCTTACATTCTGCTGCAGAGAGGGAGCTGCCTTCCTGACTCCTGCCAGCTCTGTAGTGTGTTTAAGACCTTAATCTCAGTCTCGGGAAGAAGAAAATTTTGTTTACTTTTTTAGAGAGTGAAAAAAAATTGAGATGGATTCTCAAAAGTTACCTTATTCTGATCAATCTAAGTCCCTATCTATCCCTCCAGAGCACACAGCCAAAATAAAGTTATAAATAGAGTGAATAAAATGTAACCCCACCTGCTGCCATGGGAATGGATGAGAGGGAAGACTGGGAGGGGATAGGATAAACTGAGAACATGATAGAAGACAGTGAAGGGCAGAGACCAGTTTGTCTCCTGCATCCTATACAGCACCTCACCCAATAACTCTGACTGCCAAGAGAGTGTGAAGCTTTTCTAAGGCATCCAAAACTGTGGAGGGAGTTTTGGTAGGACTCAAGATATGGAACCGTGTCCCTTGA